CTTTGATAATTTAATTTTCACAATATACCATCATAGGTTCTTCGGCCTCAACTCCAATCTCCCCTAACAAGGAACGGATCCAGAGGAGCTCTGAAACACCATGTACCATGGCTTTGCATTTAGCTTCTACACTTAACCTTGCCACAACTGTCTGTTTCTTACTCTTCCATGAAACTAAATTACTTCCAACAAGAGTACAAACTCCTGATGTAGATCTCCTACCATCTAGACACCCTGCCCAATCAGCATTTGTTTAAGCCTCTAACTTCAACTATCCATGGTCAACAAACAATATGCCTCTACCTGGGTGTCCCTTTAAATAGGAAAGTATCCTGTCAATAGCCTCCCACTACTGAACTTGTGGGGCATGCATGTATTGACTCACCACACTCATTGCATAAGAGATGTCTGGTCATGTCATACATAAGTATAGTGACCACCCCACTAACCTCTAATATCTTCCAACATCCTTTACAAGTTCGCCCTCTAAAGCATTTATTCTATGGTTTTGATCAATAGGTGTATCAACTGCCTTTGCCCCAAGTTTTCCTATCTCCTGTAGTGGATCTAGAACATACTTCCTCTATGAGATGAAGATCCCATACTTGGACCTTACCACTTCAATGCCCAGAAAGTACTTCAGCTCCCCACGATCCTTAATCTTAAAACTCTTTGTGCAGATTCTTCTTCAAGGTATCAATCTCACTCAGATCATTTCCTATGAATACAATGTCATCCACATACACTATCAAAACTAACACTACTGACCCCCTCCTCTTCACAAAAAAGTATGATCAGATTGAGTTTGAGTATAGCTAAATTCAAACAATGCACTTCTAAACCTGTCAAACCAAGCTCTAGGTGATTGCTTTAAACCAACCTGCATACCTTTCCTTTTTCCACCTTATTGTAGAAGCCAATTGGAAGATCCATAAACACCTCCTCTTGCAAGTCCCCATTGAGAAAGGCATTCTTCACATCAAGTTGAAGAGTGGCCAAGAGTATGTAGCTGCTAGTGATAGAAGAATCCAGACTAAACTCATCTTTGCCACTAGTGCAAAAGTTTCCAAGTAATCTATGCCATAAGTCTGAATATACCCTTTTGCAACCAGCCTCGCCTTGTACCTTTCTATACTCCCATCAACCTTGTACTTCACTATATAAACCCATCTACATCCAATTGTCTCCTTGCCATTAGGCAAATCCACAATCTCCCATGTTTGATTTTTACTCAATGCTTTCATTTCCTCTACATAGCTGTCTTCCACTCAGGTTTGGAGAGAGCCTTACCAACACTCCTGGGTATAGACATAGAGTCAAGGGAGGAAAGGAAGGCTTGGTAGGAAGGGGATAATCCAATGTAGGAAAGATAGTGTGAGATGCAATGAGCAATACACTTCCTCTTCCCTTTTCTGAGGGCAATAGGGAGATCAAGGTCATCTACAATGGTGTTAGGAGCAGGTGTAGTAGTATCAATAGGAACTAAACCATTAGGGGAAACAAGAGGCATACCTGGGTCTGTGTCAGTCGAACTTGGAATCTCCGATGAGCCGATATGGAGTGACATGGGTTTCTTTGTTGTGGAATCAACCTCCCTGTGTTGTCATAGGTGTTGTTGTGTAAAGCACCAAGAGACAGGATGTAATGAAAGTGGCAAAGTGGGTGAGATAGCTAGGTTAGACACTAGAGTAGACAAAGGAGATAGAATAAGAAGTGGTATAGATTGCTCACTTCCTTCTCCAAAACACTCCCCTTGAGAAGAACCCCTCTCAAGAAAAAAGGCATGGACTCAAAAAAGGTGACATCCATAGTAACACACCGACTCCCGGAGACTAGATCATAACAACAGTACCCCTTTTGATTTCCTGCATACCCAAGGAAGACGCACTTCTTCGCCTTACGATCCAGCTTTGAGTGCTGAGGACCAAAAACATGGACGAAGTATATACATTCAAACACCTTTAGAGGAATATGGAATGTCTCCCCCTCAGGAAAAAGAAGGCTGAATGGAGTGCTATGTCCAAGAACACGAGAAGGCACTCGGCTAATTAAGAAAACAGTTGTAAGAATGACATCACCCCAAAAACAAACTAGAACTATAGAGCTMAACATCATGCTTCTTTCTACTTCCACAATGTCTGTTCTTCCTTTCTGCTACACCATTCTGTTGTGGAGTGTATGTACAACTGCTCTTATGGATAACTCAATGCTCCAATAGGTATGATGCCAGGTTTTTTTTCAAAGTATTCCCTGGCATTGTCTAATCTAAACACTTTCACTCGTACCCCAAAATGTGTTAGCACCATCTGATGGGATTGTTGAACCAAAGACGGTACCTCATCACGAGATTTCATCAAATATATCCAAGAGTATCGAGAATAATCATCCACAAACAGAAAAAAATACCAATAGCCACCTATAGAGGAAACATGGTATGGCCCCCACACATCAATATGAACAATATCAAAAACAAAAGAACATCTTTTATTACTTGCTTCAAAGGAATGTCTATAATACTTTCCAAGTTAACACCCCTCACACTCCAAACTGGACAAATTGACAGACTCAAGCAATTTTGGAAACAAAAAATGCAAATAAGCAAAAGGTAAATGTCCTAACCGATTATGCGAAAGTATAATCTGACCCACTGACTTTGACTCAATACTCCTATTGACATGATGACTCTGATGACTGAGAAGTGCATCAAGAAGATAGATTCCATTCACCTTACAAGCACTCCCAATCGTCTTCTTTGATTCCAGATCCTACAAAACACAAAGACTAGGGGAAAAAATTACTGAACAATTCAAATTCTTTGTCAAGCTACTAACAGATAAAAGATTAGTGCTCAGTCTAGGAACATGAAGGACAAAAGGTAGGGTAATGGTATCGGTTATCCTGACAGACCCTTTCCCAGCAATGGGAACATGTGATCCATTATCTGTGGAAACTCTTTCTTTACTAGAGCAAAGGTGGTATGAGGAGAAGGTAGTTCAAACATTGGTCATATGTTCTGAGGCTCCTGAGTCTATAGTCCAAGGAGGTCCCCCCTTACCTGTAGTGGATACATAATTTGCAATGGCATGTGAACTACTTGTGTGTGCAAACGAAGTAGAATGACAACCTCCTGATCCACCTGCACTTTGTTGCCCACCTAATAATGAGTTAGAACTGGCCGTATCCTTCTAATTCAGAAACTTCCCATATCTCTCTAATCCTGCCCTCATTGCAGCTGCTGCAATACTCTAGAGAGGTTATATTAGGTGGCCCTGATAAATCACCAGTCACTACCATGTTCGCATTTCCCTTCTTATTTCTGACCCGACTCAGTACAAGGTGTGGGTAAAGCTTCCAATAGGTATCTCTAGTATGCTTGGGTTTCTTGTAGTAGTCACAGATTAGATCATTTTTGTCCTTCCTCAGTTCATTTCCACCCTTGTCCCTACTTGGCTTAGGTTTCACTATGCTAACCATCGCTGACTGCTCAAGGCTTGGGTTCCTCATCATCACATTCCTCCTACTCTCCTCTCTAGATACAAAGGCATATGCCTAAGAGAGAGTTACACTGTCTCGAGAAAGAATATGTTGTTGTGCAATATCATACTCAGGGTTAAGTCCAGTCAAAAACTCAAAAGCCATTCTCTTCTCTACCAGCTTCAAATAATTTGTTGTATCTTTGCTACTTTCCCAAACCATAGTCTCCAAATGACCTATCTCCTTTCATAAGGTTTTAAGGGCTAAAAAATAAATAGCAATAGGCTTATCTCCCTGCCTAGTAGGAATCACTTGATTTCTCAACTGATAGGTTCTAGCAACATTCTCATTTTGTGAATASGTTTCTACTACTCCATCCCAAATCTCCTTAGCTGTATTAGCTCATAAAAAGTTCTTACTTATATGGGGCAACATGGAATTGCACAACCAAGTCATCACCATGTAGTTCTCCTGTACCCACTAGGAGTGGTTAGTTTCAGGTTTCTTTTTCTCGCTAGTGGCATACCCCAATTTCCCACGAGCACCAATGGCCATTTTTTCAGATTGTGACCATTCTAAGTAGTTTGTATCATCCAACTTGACTGTTGTGATGGTTCCGGCCTCGAAGAGATCTCCAGTACCTCTTCCTCCTAATCATTTCTCCTGCAAATTTGTTTTCAATTCTACAAGCCTCCATAACTCCCAGAATAGATTAGGAAATCAAATTGAGATGAAAAGAAAGGTATTTATCTCCTTTAGAAACCTTAAACACCCTCTTAGAGCCCTAGAAGCCCCTCCCTCCAAAGATTCCCTCTAGAGACCTCCAAAAGGCTGGGACTTAAACTGCCCCCTTTAGAAAACCTCAAGGAACCCTAGAAAACTAGAGTGTCGCTTCCTAGGTCAAAATTTAAGTCCTATTAAATCAAGACTCTCCCCTTTCTCTAGTTCTTCCTAATTTTGGTGTAAAATCCTAGACCAGCTACAAGGGATTGCAATTCCACCGAAAAAATGCAAAAACTAGGCTTACCCGAAGTCTTCGATCAGCCCTTTACCTTATCATGTAGTCGGCCGATCTAGGGCTGCATGATAGAGCAACTCAAGAAATCTTTAAACTTGCTTTGATACCAAGTAGAAAAGTTTGGACACCTGTTTTGATACAAAAACTGTAAAAGAAAGAGAAGAAAAAGGTTTTAGCTGAGAAAGAGAGAGAAGAGAGATAGAAGAGAATGGGAGAAGCTCAGAATTAGGTCTGGCTGCCTCTTTCATTAGATTATATAATCATAAATAAAAGAGAGTACAAAGACATGTATGCCCTTGGTAAGTCAGCTACTTCTGAGAACTTAAAAAACACTCTTAACTTAAAACATAAACTAGTGGGCCTAAGGCCCAATAACTCCCTAACTATGCAATGTAAATAAAAACAAGTTCTATCAGCCCAAAACTCAGGACTTTTTAATTCTAAAATGATTAAGAATGCCCATTGGAACTAGGATTCAGTTTTCCATGTCATGTGATAAAGACCATACCTTTTCCATATACTCTGGCTTCAGATGACCCCATGGATTCCTCCCACTCCCATAATTATGAAGATTTAAGGCAACAATTGCCCTAACGCTGCAAGATAGGTCAAGAAGACTGTATTAGGTCATGTTCAAGAGGAGAAGAAAGAAAAAATGCAGAACATCAAGTCCCCAAAGTACTTGAATATTAAGGAAGTAATAATAAACAAAGCATCTGAAAGGGAACAAAACAAGTAAAAAAGGAAAACAAAATATGACACACATAATATTCATATAAATTAAAGGTCAAATGGAAATAATGGCAAGTAACCAGTTTATATTTGGTCAATTGTGACCAATAAATATTAAAAACAGATTGACTTTAGATATTGGGAAAAATCAAAAGTGTAGAACTGTGGCCTTCAGTTATAAGTCCTTTATCAGAATAAACTGGGGGACAGGAGCAGAGTTGCCACTAGTTGCAAACTAGCCACACAGGAGAAAGTTACAATTTTTAATGAACATGCTAAAAATTTTTGCCTTACAAACTATACTTCACAAGAGATGGATGGAGTTAGGGGTGGAATCAAAATGAGTCGTCTAGGAATCTTCACTAATCACTAGTCAAGTAGGGAGTTTGCCTAGACAACTCCACTTATTTCTGCCATTTAGAGGGATCTTGTGATCAATCCAGTCCCTTCATCAAATAGGGGACCTACTGGATTGGCTGCATGCCCAGTCCCAAAGCCCATATTAGCCATATGTGTTGGCAACATGAATCCTGTTTTATCATTCCATACTATTTAATGCCATATCCATTTATTTAGCCATCAAACCTTTTGACCCAGTCAATGGGTCATGGGTTAGACATTAGATCCCCTTTTTATATTATTTTCATGTTGATCTAAAAATACATATAATAATATATTAATGGTACTTTCAATATTTGCTTTTCATTTGTCAATATTAATTTCAATTCAAATTTTAACTTAAGTAATACTATTTTAATTTACCTGCTAATATATTAGAATTACTTACATATTAATAATATTTTTTACTACTATTAATTATTTTTTGTTATTATTATTTATTATCTTATCCAATCTGTAGTGAACAAAAATCTATCCAGTTTGGAGCAAATAGGGTTTGCTTGAAGGATAAACAATGTGAAGTTATTTTGCAACAGGGGCAATTCTTTTAGCTCAAAGGTATTAATGAAATCATTAAACTTCCTCATACTTGTAGTAGTTCTTTAACTCAAATTGTTTGTCTCCTTTGTAAACCTAATTATATTGAAATCCCCACCCATGCACCATGGCCCTCCCCAAAGTCCTCTAATTTCTCCTAGTTCTTCTCACAACTCTCTCTCTTTATACCCATTGGGACCATATATATTTGTCAATACCCATTTAAATCCATCTACCACTTGCTGAAACTTAATAGACACTGTACTACCAACAAATTCCTCAATTCCTTCCATAGTGAATGGTTTAAATTGTCCCTAATTTCCCAAATATTTCCACAACATATTTCCATTTCCATGGGTAGCAACACGAAATCTTTAGCGGAATCAACAAATTCCCCAATGAGCACTATGTGGAGTACAAGAGATAGTTTCCATGACATATTTCCATTTCCACTGCCATGGGTAGCGATATGAAATTTTACCAAAATCGACATATTCCCAAGTGAACACTACCAGCATTATACAGAGTACAAGATATAGTATTATAACATAAATTGATGACAATAAAGTTGATATGTGGAGTAACAATGTTATTGTCACCTAACTTACACGATTACCACTATGAGCCAGCTTAATATTCATTTCAAACATGAAGGTAAATATTAGTTATTTAGTTTTTGTTTGTGTAATAGATTATTTGGTTGATTTATTACAACCATTTACATTTTCTATGAGTTTAAATTTTGTTTTGACTCATTTTATCAGGACGCTTTAAGTCTTAAAGTTTACAGGGAAACTTCAGAACATATTCTTTTGTCTATAACCTTAGTTTCTTAGTTTTTTAGTGATTTGGAGCAACATAATAATTTAAAAGGTGTGCCTATGCTTCTTTTATCATTGTATAAAATATTATTCTATATTTTGCATATTATACAATGTTTCTACCATGTTTATATTGCTACAATATTTCCATACTATATTTTTGACATTTTCAATAAGTTTCTTATATTTGGACGACAAACATTGACATTTTAAACCTTGATAGTGATACTATACATCCTAAAGATCCAAAAGATGGACACATTGCCCAACTAATTCCCCTTGCTTTCCATACACTTCTAGAGAACCTAATGCCAAAATTTGTTAACTTGCACTCCTAAAAAAATTACTATGTTTGGTCTTGTTTCCTCAACACTTCCTTTATTAAAGATCTCTTCCTTCCATTCCCCAAGCTTCTCATATTCTAGCTTATCAACTTTATTTTTAAACTAGCTTCCTATCAACTCCTACTGCCTGTCCTCTATTTGATTCTTGCTCTTCTCCCCTTTCTTTCACAGAGAGATGCATGTAGTTAGGGGTGGAATCAAAATGGGACATCTAGGAAACTTCACTAATCAGCAGTCTGGTCAAGTAGGGAGTTTTCCTAGACAAACCCACTTATTTCTGCCATTTAGAGGGATCTTGTGACCAATCCACTGCATTCATTAGATAGGGGACCCACTTGATTGGATGCATGCTCATTCCCAAACCCCATATCAGCTATATGTGTTGGCTACATGAATCCTGGTTTATCATTCCATTCTATTTAATGCCATATCCATTTCTTTAGCCATTTAACATTTTGACACAGTCAATGGGTCATAGGTTAGACGTTAAATCCGCTTTTTTGTATTAATTTCATGTTGATCTAATAATACATATAATCATATATTAATGGCACTTTCAATATTTTAACTTAAATAATACTATTGTGATTCATCTGATTGTATATTAGGATTATTTTAATAATATTTTTTACTATTATAATTATTTTTTCTGGTTGTTTTTGTGAAACACTTATCTTTTTTTCATGGGCTTTTTGAATTTTTCTAATTTTAAAATTGAATAATATAACTCAAGTGGATAATAAGCTTTAAGACTTTTATCTCCTCTCATTAACTCCTCTTTCTCATTAACTACTTTAATGATCTCTTTTCATTAATTATGCCATTAACTCTCCTTCAATAACTCATGCCATTAATTCTCTCTCCTCCTCATTACTCCATTAAATTGCCTAAAATTCATTAACTTTTTCTATATTTATATCCATTTCAACTTAACTAATTTTTACATTAGATATATTTGTATTAAATTATAATTATCAATAAAAAAATTATATTCAAATGGAGATATTCAATAATATGTCATTAGGCTAAATAATTAAGTAAGTAATTTATACTTCGAATAAATATTATTTAATTCACTCAACAAATAAAACCAATGTTTTAAAAATCAACTTAAAGGCTGAATAGTTTTTGCCTCTAGGTCATGGGCCAACAGCTAAATTGTCTAGGGTGGACAAATCAAACCATGACATACTAACCTTTTGTATATGTATAATATGATATAATATAATTACATTTTATGTGTTTGTATATATTGTTTTAGGTTATGTACCTTTTATTTTAGTTTTTAATTTTTTATAAATGAAAAACCTGAAAATTGAAAATTGAGACCACAAAATGAGTTTTTTTTTTTATTTATATAGTGAGGTTGCAAAGATCATGAAAAAGTTACCCAAAATAAACATATTGTAACCCATGACCTAGTGACTAGATCAAAAGGGTCAATGATGAGTTGAAAACAATGAATAAAACATCATAAAAATTATAATCCAYTTATATTCCATTTGAAATAATAAAAATTAATTAACCACAGTAAAAAAATTTACTATACTACTGAAATAAGATAAAAAATAATTATTAATTATTATTATTGATACAAATGCTTTTATCAATATAATAAAAACAAATAAGTTAATAAAAAGTAATAAGAAAAATTAAAAACTAATATCCATTTAAAATTAATATAAAACTAATACAAATTTATCTAGCAATTATTCATTTTATAAATAATTTTTACTAATGAACTTAAAATCCATTTAAAAAATAAAAAATAATATAATTAATTAAATTTAACAAGGATTAATAAAAATTTATTAACATTATATATAGATTAAAATTAATTTAAAATCAACTTATATTCAATTCTATTTAAAAATAGGGAAAATTATAAAAACCTCCTTAGATTTTCTAACAATCCTATGAACCTCCCCTATGTATGTTTTGAACTTGACAAAAACCCTCCCATATTGTTTTGAAAAAAAAATGTCTAGATACTTTGCTTTCCTTAGCATTTGAAATAGAAAATATTGATGTAATGCATTAAATATTTTACCCTTAACCAACTTTATTCAAATATAATCACAAACCAAAAAATATTTTTACCTAAAAATAATTACAAACCATAAAATTTTAAAAATTAATAAAAAATTTAGCATTAAGATACAAAAATTAATACATATTTATCTAGAAAAACAGGAAATTATCCACTCTCACTAGAGTGCAACTTGAATTGTGATCAGATAAACTAAACATAACCTAAAAAAAATGCTTGAATTGGACTTAGTTGAGCACTGCTTAACTAGAAATGTGATAAAGCTCTTTCTTCAATTTTTCTTAATAAAACTTGTGCATCGCATGGGTCCCGACTAGTTATTATTTATTATCATATTCAATCTGCAGTGAATAAAAATCTATCTAGTTTGGAGCAAATAGGTTTTACCTAAAGGTACCATGTGAAGTTATTGTACAACAAAGGCAATACATTTAGATCAACGGTATTAATGAAATCATTAAACTTCCTCATAATTGTAGTAGTTCTTTGCCTTGTATTATTTGTCTCCCTTGTAAAGTAGATTACATTGAAATCCCCACCTATGCACCATGGCCCACCCCAAAGTCCTCTAATATTTCCAGTTCCTCCCACAACTCCTCTTTCTCTATATCCATTAGGACCATATATATTTGTGAGAACCAATTCAAATCCATCTACCACCTATTGAAACTTAAAAGATGTTGTAAACCTGCCGACAAACTCCTCAATTCCTT